GGGGGCTGGGGGGGCGGCCCGGGGGCTGGGCTGCGGGGAGGGCCAAGCATCTCCTCTGCTCCACCAACCTGCAAAGCCCCGGCAGCCAGGGGAGGGATGGGGTTCAGAAAACTTAAGGAAAACACGACTCGAAGGAAAAGGGGGGGATCCCGCTGCAAGACTTAAACTGCTGCTGTTTTGCCCGGCTGCTTTGGCTGGGAGCCTCCCATGTGCCTCTTCTCCCCACGTGATGGCGGGAGGCTCCCGCGAGAGCCCGCGCCGGGGCGAGGAGCCCACGCCAAAGGGACGATCTGCCGGTGCCGTGCTGCGGCATCCCTGGTGTAGGAGGGCTTGCCCAGCTGGCACCGCACCGGCTGCTCAAAGACCTGCAAATGCATGGGAAAATGGGGCTTTGCAGAAAGTTGGGTTATGTTCATTTTTAAATGACTTTAAAAAAAAAAAAACCAACCCAACCAAACAAATGCAAGGCAGGGTGGGTTTGGGAGCTCTGCAAAAAATCAATGGCTGCGAGAGGGGTGCAGCAGGGTTAGGCATGGGGTGCCAGCACGGTGGGGCTGGGTGAGCCAGCTCCCTGCAAAATTTCCTCCTCCCAGAGTCTCCCGCACGTGGCCCCGCTCACCCTCTGGATCTGCCCTCCCAGGCATTGCCTGCGCCTGCCTTTCCTCCTTCCTCCTGTGTGGGTGATGCACAGGGCCGTGGGTGACAAGATAATTATTTTGCAAGACTCCCACACCTCTTCCCACCTTTGGCCCCGCGTCCCAGCCCCGCGCCTGCTGCCACAGCTCATAAGGAAGCAGGAGGGGACGCGCTCTCCTGATGCCCTCCGGCTGCACCCACACCCCAGCGCCGCAGGGTGAGGGGGGTCCCAGGCTGGGGTCCCTCACGAGGCTGCGGCTTTCCCCTGCAGGCAGCCTGGCTGGGCATCAACATCTTCCTCTTCACGTACTACTTTCTGTTCTTCAACCGGGACGAGCGGTACTTCTACACCAGGGCCATCCTCGGGGTAAGGTGCTCCCCTGAGGCACCCTGCCTGCCCGGGCACGCGTGCCCCTCGGAGCCCTCCTGCAGTGGGGTGGGGGCTGTAGCACCCCATGCCCTTTCCTTGCCCTGTCCTCTTCCAGCCCGCCATCGCTCCGTCCCAGTCACCAGCCTGGCATTCCCCCATGCCAGTCCCTATCTTGGTTCCTGTCCTGTACCAGCCCAGCTTCACGCCACCCCAGCCCAGCATCACTCCCTCCCAGCCCAGCATCACTCCCTCCCAGTTCCCCTCCTCTCCTGGCTCAGCATCACCCCTTCCCAGTCCCCAGCCCAGCATCACCCCATCCCAGTCCCCAGTATCACTGAGTCCCAGCTCAGCATCTCTTGGCCCCATCATGTCCCAGTCCCATGCCCAGAGCACCATGCTGGGCAGAGCCGTGGGGACAGCGGCACTCACCCCCTCCCCTCTCCCCAGTCTGCCTTGGCTTGGGCACGAGCATCGGCCAAGTGCCTCAACTTCAACAGCATGCTGATCCTGCTGCCCGTCTGCCGCAACCTCCTCTCCTTCCTCCGCGGGACCTGCTCAGTGAGTGCTCTGTGGTGGCACGGCCAGCATGACCGTCCCCATCCCCATCCCCATCCTCATCCCCATCCCCATCCTCATCCCCGCTGCCGCTGCCTCTTCGGGGCTCACCGCCCGTGCATGCCGTCGGTCTGCACATGTGACCTGTCATCTGGGGGGGGTTTCAATGCCTTCTAAATTAGAATCTGCATTCCAGCACGGTCTGAGGATTTCCCCCGGACCCAAAGCCTTTCGTTTCCTTTTTCTTTCTCCTTTCCCCTGGCTTTCCCCCCCCCCC